GATATCTACAAATCTAGATAGTAATATGATAATGTGAGCTATTTCAAAATTCAGACAATTATCACTTTCATCTCACAATGATAAGAGAATATTTAATATCTTGGTTTTGTCCATTTCATTGGATTTTGTGTCTTAATGAAGTTTTAGGAAAAGTAATGCTTTTCAAGTGCAATGGGTCACAATGTCTCTTCCTTGTCCTGGAGATGTGAAGAAAATATGGAAGATGATGACAAGGGAGAGCAAGGCTGTCTCCCCAAGTCGTGGTGAGTGCCTGCAGGTCAGAGTCCTCTCCAGACTGTGGGATCCTTGAGTATGGATTGAATCCATCCCTATTTTCCCATCTCCAGCACTAACACAGGCCTTGAATGTGGTGGTCAATAAGTACTGAGAATTAATAAAGAGCAGGCCACTTGTAATGAGTTTATGTAGGAGTCAATAAGGCAACCCACCTCAACTCCCACTAGACATTGAATAAAAAAGAGTCGGTGTGCTGGGGTGTAGTTCAGTGGTAAAGCTCTGACCTAGCAGGCATGAGGCTCTGAATTTGATCCCTAGCACTACAAAAAAAGAAGAAAAAAGTGGGGTTGCAGTTATAGTCCCATTTTCTCTGACATGGATCAGGTCAATGAGTCAAGTTATACATTCCAATAAAAGATACAATCTAGATAAACATTAAGACAAATGTCAGATATGAAGTTATCCTCTGGGCGGGTACGGTGGCGCATATCTGTAATCCCAGTAACTCAAAAGGCTGAGTGAGGTAGGAGGATTGCAAGTTTGAGGCCAGCCTAAGCAATTTAGTGATGCCCTAAGCAATTTAATAAAACCCTATCTCAAAATAAAAAAATAATAACTAACAGGGCTGGAGATGGGGCTCAGTGGTTATATGTCCCTGGGTTCCATCCCTGATGCAAGAAGAAGGAGAAGGAGAAGAAGAAGAAGAAGGACAAGAGAAGGAGGAGGAGGAAGAGGAGGAGCAGGAGGAAGAGGAGGAGGAGCAGGAGGAAGAGGAGGAGAAGCAGGAGGAAGAGGAGGAGGAGGGGGAGGAAGAAGAGGAAGAGGAGGGGGAGGAGGGGAGGTGGAGGAGGAGGAGGAGGTTATCATCTGATTTTTCTGGAATTATAATTTCCATCACATACCTTCATTTTGTTTTATAAAGATCTAACCATGCACATGTGAATTTGCTGTGTGTGATGTGATTTGCTTGCATTCCACTGCAGACTATTTATCAATGTTTTTATTTTAAGACAGGGTCTTGCTAAATTGCCCAGGCTGGCCTTGAACTTGCTATCCTCCTGCCTCAGCTTCCCAGGTAGCTGGGATTACAGGTATGCTCCACCACACCAGGAACAACTCTGAGATTCGAATCACACTCCGCCTTTGTCTCATCCCATGACCTCAGTAAGGCTCCTTGGACTATTTTTTGGCTTACTTTTCTCTTGTATGGATTGGAAATAATTACTCTGTAATTTTCCTAAAAGCAAATGGTCTTAAAAGATCCTTAGCTGAAACTTTCCAATTTAGAGAATGCAATTACAGGTATTGTAGAATCGATGATGGAATCAGAATTGCTAAATATACAATATTATTTTCTTTAAAAATGTTTCTTCCGCATTTTCCTTAATGTTTATACAGAGAACATCATAAAAACAGATTTCTATTTTCACTTTTAATCTTGTTAAAAAAGAAATGCTTAGACCAAGCATTTCCAAATTTATATAATAAAGTAGAAAAAATTGTAAATAGAATAGATATGGATTCTAATACCTAATAACTCTTATTACTAGCTCTGTGACCTTGGACAAGTCACCTAACCTCTCTGAGACTCAGATTCTTTCATCTTTACAACAAAAATAACGCTTTTTACTACCAAGAGTTCATGAAGGGGTTTAAAAAATTGATTATGGAGAGGGGCTACCTTGTATGCCTGGTTCTTAAAAAAGGTTAATTATACGATTGCTTCCTAAGAAAATACTGGTAATAATCGAAGGTCCTAGGTTTAAACCAAAAGTTGAACATTTGTACAAAGATATTTAAAATAAGGTATATTACTAAGATATTGATGAAGAGTTGAATAAAATGAAGACTCTTCATCCTGACATAAAAAAACAAACATATTTTCTTCTAGATATGAGAAGAAACATTTGAAATATAATTTTGAGCCAATTGTGAAAGATTTTCTAAGTTTTTGCAAAAGCTTCTGATCTTTTTAATTAGCAAAATAATGTAAGAAACATGTGCAGTGCTGTGTACCTAGCAGTAAGCAGAGTGCTTGGCCACAGCAGGTACTCAATAAATATTTGTAGAATGAATGCATAGGAAGTTGTGGATTTTTGAATCAGAGAGATTTAGTTTGTGTCTTATAGTGCAATCATAACACCTATCTCTAAAGGTTGTTAAGAAGATTGAAAGAGGTATAAAAAGGACCTGGAACTTGAATTAAGACGTTTTCCTTAGTGCTGTTTATACTTTTGCTAATTTCATAATATTATATGTCAAGATCAAATGAAAACAAATAGTATTGTACTTGACTAGACTAATAAACTGCCACGTGTATTCTCCCTATAACATACAGAGAGACTGTTCATATAGCAAAATCCTCCTCAATTCGTCTCTGGCTGCTTTGCCATCAGAGCAGCCAAACTGCTCAGAAGTAATTCCTGCTTCAAGGCTTTTTAAAGCAGGCTGTGGTACTCACTTGGTTTTTCTGCACTTGGCTTTTGGTTGCCTTTTTAGCTAGTGACCCTGGATTTTAACTAATGAACTCCAGCTGTTCTTATTTTGCCTTCCAGCCCTACTCAGTTAACCTCCTGTCTCCCTGGGCGCACATCCTTCGAGTTCTTTCGGGAGAAATGGGACAGTGCCAAAGTTCTTAAATGAGGCCTCACATCTTGAAGGGAGAGGGCCTCTCTGACAAGGACTCCAAGTTTTTATATTGATGGAAAAAGAAACATTCGTTGTTGGAAACTGGAAGCCTAACAACCTCCAAAGTGTCAAAAATCCTTTTGTGGTTTTTATTATTATACATTGCAAACCTTTCAGTAAGGGAAGTTCATAAAACCAACCAAGAGTATCCTCAGTTCAATACTAAATGTAATTGTAAGCACCTGTGACCGGGAGGCAGCTCGTTGGTAAAAGTGCAATGAAAGAAGCATCTAGCATACGGAACAAGACAGATCCAGCTTTTCTGAACCATGCTGAGAACCATCTGTTAGCAAATCCAGCAAAAAGATTTCACTGTTAGCCTCAAATGTCAACCTGAAAAACATGGCTGTGGGCAAAAGCTAAGCAGCAACACTGGCCTTACACAATCAAGCTCACAAAGGCCACAACTGGAGAATGAAGTGAACCTGGACCTGGATCCCATCCTTGAAGGAGAGTGACCTGGTGATTTCTATTCTATTCAGAAATACTCTTTATCCTATCCACACATTTCTTCCAAACATGATCATCTTTCACAGGGACCACTAATAAGTACATCAGTAAATGCAGCTTCCATGGTATTACACACTTAAAACCATGCATTCCCCAGAATGCACCTGATCCTACCAGGATGGGTCCCTGGCTAAGCTGACAGCCATTTGGCCCTTCCACTTAAATTTAAAGTGATGTATTCCCCAGAGGCTCTGAAAGACTTTGAAAATGGCATTAAATTCAGTTATAAACTCATTTGCTGAATTGCTTTTTCCATGCCTGATTGCATAAACCCATCCTAAGCTCAGCATCTACTGACTCCATTAGCCATAATGAGACCACTGGTTGTTGTCTTGGTTTACAATATCTTTTACACACTTGTTCCATGAATTATCTGCTCCACATGGAAAACCACATAGAAAAGAGACTGGAGCTTTCTCATCCTTCACAACACTCAGCAATATGCTTTGCACATAATATGTGCTCAGTAAAAAGAGAAGATAAAAGGGAGAGAAAGTAAAGCCAGGGAAAGGCATTTCTTTTGTTTTTTGCTAAAATGGACAGTAATCTCAATTTCATTTTAAATGGCCCATGTAAAAAAGTTGATACATTGTATTTTTAATGATTTATTCACTCTATTGGCTTTTTTTTTTTTTTTTGTAGTACTGAGGGTCCACCCCAGTACCTCACCCAGTCTAGCCAAGTTCTTTACTGCTGAGCCATATCCTCAGTCGTTTTTATTTTTTATTTTGAGACAGGGTCTTGGTAAATTGCCCAGGTTGACCTCAAACTTGTGATCCTCCTACCTCAGCCTGGCTTTTCAATTTTTATAGTGTAAATTATTAGTTATCTCTATGCTCAACAAGAAATTATCCAAAGAAAGGAGCAAGAATGGAATAATAAGAGCCAACATTTACTGAAGTCTGAAAACAGACTCTGTGATAAGTGCCTTGTATATATATTCTTGTTTAATCCTCATAGCAACTTGTGAAACATGGACTATTATTATCCTCTCTCTACAATAAACTAAGTCTTGGGCAATCTACCCAACACCACACCACTGGTAATGGTAGACCTACAATGCAAACCCAAGTCCATCCTTCCTCATTTGCTATACCAACCAGGGTACAAAGGAAATACAGACACAACTCTTAAAGTATATGCCTTCCCAAAAGAGTTTTTCAACTATGAGGAAAGAAACATTTGCTACATTTAGGCAAATTTCCCACTAATAATTTGGATGATTTTTTAAAAAAAAATTTCATATGAATTTTTTTGGTGTTGTATAGATGCAGTTTTCACAACCAGCATGAGGCCAAACACTTGGAACGTATTTAGAAACACTGTTTGAGGTCAAAGTTTTGGTCAAGTGATATAACAGTTTTGAATCTTAACGTCCTCAAGAATAAATAATGAAATAGTAGTATAAGTTTTCTTAGAAAACTGGCATCAAGAATAAAATTGTAATGGTAATATTTCTTTCATAAATATAAAAAACCAGATGTTTAACAGATAAACTCAAAGCATTCTTTTACCAAATCCAGGAATCAAAACAGATCTCTTGGGTTTGCTTTTCTGGTTCTTACCTTCCCGAATTGCTGTGAATGGGACTCCTTCCTCTGCATTCATGCTGATGACTTTTAAAGCCACTAGTTGTCCATTTATCCTAGAAAAGGGGATGGGAAGTATGGCACTCACTTATTGACATGGTTCAAAGCAGCAATAGAAAAAGAAGGCTTAAGAAAAGGAGTTTTCTAACAAAAGATATTCTAGCATATGGATCTACAATTATCTCCAAATAAAAAAATTATACATATAAGTACATAAAAATATTCTCCAAACAAAAAGTTTTATATATATATATGTAAAGTATATATCATATATATGATTCATATATTTTAACAACACTATATCTACTAAAGCGATGTATGTTCATTATAGAAAAAAACTGAAGAAAATAGAAGCACAGAGAAATCAACCCCCTCTTTATAGGGGTGCTGGGGATTGAACCCAGGGCTTTGTACATGTGAGGCAAGCACGCTACCAGCTGAGCTGTATCCCCAGCATCCTTTTTATTTTTTGAGACAGTCTTACTAAGTTTCTTAGGACCTTGCTAAATTGCTGAGGCTGGCCTTGAACCTGTGATTCTGCTGCCTTAGTCTCCTAAATTGCTGGAATTATAGGCATGTGCCACCATGCCCGGCCCTCATAATAGTTTGATGTGCATTGTTTCTTTTATTTCCCTTTTTTGCATTTAAGATATTCTTACTTCTCATCTGACTTCTTGTAGTGGTCTCCTAACCATCTCCCTGCTTAAATACTTGTACTCCATCTATCTATACTGAACAGAGTAGCTGGGGGCACATTTTAAAAACCAAAGTCAAAACAAGTCACTTCTTCATTCAAAAACCAGCCAGACTTTTACAACAGCCTCCTGATCAGGCAAGTGTTGCCTGATCTGCCCAGGCTTCACCATTCTCTCTCTCTCCCCCTTCATCCTCCTACTCTCCCCTTATTCATTGTTTTGTTTGTGATGTAAGCCAAGTGCCCAGAACAGAGATTTAAAAAAAAAAAAAAAAAAAGAAGGAAGGAAAAAGAAAAAGAACAGAGATTTTAATGCAGGTATAAATATGTTGGGTTGCTTTGGTTTGTGGGGTCCTGGGGATTGATCCCTACGGTGCTCTACCACTGAGCTACAGCCACAGCCCTTTCTACTTTTTATTTTAAGACAGGTTCTTGCTATGTTGCCCAGGCTGGCCTCGAACTTGTGATCCTCCTACCTCAGCCTCAAGAGTAGTTGGGATTATAGGCCACAACCAACTATAAATGTTATTTTTACAGAGCAGGATTTATATCATATTGTCAGTAATCTGATCTTTCTCCATTTAACATTTTCTCTTATCATTCCTTATTGTGTTGTATGATGTTTAATAATGGCCTAATATTTCATCATGTAAACATACCAAATTGTTCAGCCAATTCCAAACGTGTGTAAATTGTTTCTACCTTTGGACTACTATAAAAATACAATAATGATCATATTTAAAGATTCATCTTCTCATACAGCCTTAATTATTATTTCCTTAGGTAGATATGGAATTGCTGAGTCAAAGGGTATTCAGTGCCCATGTTTTCATTGACTTGAATTCACTAAGTGATCACACAACGATGGCATGAGAGTGGCCATTCCATCACTTCCTTGCTAACACTGAGCTGGGTTTTGTTTCTATTTTTGTATTTTTAGATTTCTTTTTTAAGAACAGTTTCACTTTTTCAGAAAACTTAGGAAGACAGTGAACCAACATTGATAAGTTATTATTTGCTAAAGCCCAGAGTTGATTAAGATTTCTTTAGTTTGTACCTAAAGGTCCTTTTTATTGTCCAGGATCCCATTCAGTTGTCATGTATCCTTCAGCCACTCTTGGCTATGATAGTTCCCAGATTTTCCTTGTTTTTGGTGATCTTGGCAGTTTCGAGGAGTACTGGTCAAGTATTTTGTAGGATGCTCCTCTCTTGGGATCTTTCTGTTTTTCTTATGATTGGTTTGGGATCATGAATTTGGGGAGGAGCCATCTTCACATTATATTCAGGATACCTATTGTGCACATGAATTTCCTTTGATGTGGACCTTAACCACGTGGCTGGAGTAGCATTTGTCAGGTTTCTCTACTGGGAAGTTACTCTTTCCCTTTTCCATTCTGTACTTCAGGATGAATGTCACTACATACAAGGAATTGAGAGCTATGATCTACCTCCTTGAGATCCGGCTGGAATTCTACATGGGAGATTTATTTCTCCTCTCTTATTTATTAACTTATTGAACCATTTATTTATATCAGTATGGACTCATAGGTATTTTATTGTTTGGGTTATAATTTGATATTACTTTACTTTGTTTTTCAAATGTTTGCAGATTTGTCCTTTGAAAAATCTTTCAGTTAGCTCTCATGTCACTTTGGCACATCCACACCAAACTGGGTTTTGTGTTGTTGTTGTTTTTGGATGTTTTTGTTTTTATCTTCACATTTTAGCCTATATAATAAGTTAAAGACGTTATCACACTTGAATTTCTTTACTTATGCAAGTGAGTTTTCATAGTCTTTTCTATTTCTTTTGTGCTTTCCCTAAATTGCCTACTTTTTTCTTGAAATACTTACATATACATCTCACCAGTTATTTTCATTTGCTTTATAATGTCTTTGAAGATTTATTTACTTGTTTGTTTATTTTTGTGGTGCTGAGGATCGAACCCACAGTCTCATGTATGCTAGGCAAGTGCTCTACCACTGACCTACATCCCTAGCCATGAAGTTTTGAACTTAAAAAGATTTTTATGATGTTCAGTATTTTCCAAAGAGTTTTGCTTAGAGCCTGTTTCTGTAAAATTCTACCCTACTCTCCCCCAATAAAAGTTTTTTGGTCAAATATGTTTAGAAAATGCTTCTTAATTGTTCTTAGAAGGTCACAGTATACACTGACATTTTTAAAATACTGAAAGAATCTATAATAAAGAATTGAATTTGGTTTTGTTCTGCCCATATTGATTTTTCCATAACTGTTTCAATGAAACATCTATTAAGGTGTCTCAGAACTGGGGATCCCTAGAACATACTTGGATATATGGGGCACCACGGACACTTCCTATCTTTTCTCATGGATTCTGATTTGAGTGTTAGACAGACTTTCCAGCCTAAAAGTTACAAAGAATCCACGTATCTTTTCTTCTAGTTCTTGTATGTTTCTTTTTCATTTATCTCCTTAATCCACCATGATTATATATTTTAGTGATACTTGGATCTTTAACTGTTCTGGACTTTTCAAAACCATGTTTCTTTGATCTGTCTTTTCTTATATTGTGCTGGCCTTTTTTTTTGTTGTTTTTGGTTTTGGTGCTGGGGATTGAACCTAGGGCATGTGAGGGAAGCATTCTACCAACTAAGCTATATCCCCAGCCCTGTGCTGCATAATTTTAATTATTGTAGTTTAGAATACACAGTTGGACCTCTGTATTTGTAGGTTCTGTATCTGTTAAAACAACTGCAGATTGAAAATAATCTGGGAAAAATTATGTCTGTACTGAACATGTATTGACTTTTTTTCTTGTCATTTCTCTAAATTATACAATGTAACAACTACTTACATAACATTTACATTGCATTAGGTATTAATTTATATTCAAATACTGCCCCCTGTTATATAAGACACTTGAGGATTCGTAGATTTTGGTGTCTAAGGGGATCTAATCCTCTGAGAATTTACTATACCTAGAATACATCAAAACTTGAAATTAGACACTGACATGTTTGCACAATTAGAATTTCTTTCTTCTTCTTTTTTTAGTTGTAGATGGGCACAATACCTTTATTTTATTTATTTATTTTTATGCAGTGCTAAGGATGGAACCCAGGGCCTCACATGTACTAGGTAAGCCCTCTACCACTAAGCTTCACACTCCCAGCCCCACAATTAGAATTTTTAATTCAAATACCCTGTACTTAATCAGTCCTCGGACTGGTCATTGTACAAGACCTACGCAATCTCCTGATGCACACATACGACCTCCTGCCTGCACTCATCTCTATCCACTGTCCCCTCCAATGCCAGGCTGACTCTGCCCCCAGGGATTGTTGTACTTGCAGTCTCCCCTGCCTTCCACTGTGCTAATACATAGCTCACTCCTTGCCTCCAACAGGTTCCCTGTTCAAGTGTTTCCTTCTCAGCCAGGCATCCTCTTGGAGCCCTATTTAAAATGGTAATCCAACAACAACTCTGGCTCTCTCTCTCTCTCTCTCTCTCTCTCTCTCTCTCTCTCTCTCTGTTTCATTCTTTTCTATGAATTATTGGGGATTGAACACAGGGGTGCTCTACCACTGAGCCACCTCCCCAGCCCTTTTTATTTTGAGACAGGGTCTCACTACTTTGCCCAGACTGGCCTCCAACTTGCATTCCTTCTGCCTCAGCTTCTAGAGGAGCTGGGATGACAATTGTGCACCACCACGCAGGCCATTTTCATTCTCCCTGGCACTTTTCACCCTTCAACAAATTCAGTAGTTTACTGATTTGTTCACTGTTTATGTCACTCCCATCACACTCCATAAGAGCAGGGATATTTGTCTCTTTTGTTTTCCAATGCATTTTTTTTTAAGTTGTCAATGAACCTTCCTTTTATTTATTTATATGCCGTGTTGAGAATTGAAGCCAGTGCCTCACACATGCTAGGCAAGCACTCTACCTCCGAGCCACAACCCCAGCCCCCAATGTATTCTTATTAGCTTAAGTAGTGTGTGACACATAATAAATATCACAATTAGAAAAATTAATAGACTTTAGTAGAATGAATGAATGTCTGACTCTTTAAGTCTTGGATGTCCCTTAGTAAATCTTTACATAAATCCTGCTCTGCTTTTTAATGTTAATCATCACATTTTGTTGTTATTATGAGAGGAGCTTTTCCTACTATATTTTCTAAATAATCATTTCTAATATATATGACAACCTTAATAGGTATATATTGATTTTGTAACCGATTACCTATTGTTCTGTTACTACTTTTAATAGTTTCTTAGATGATTCTCTTTGGTTTTTTTAGGGGGACAATGATATCATATACAAAAAAATTATTTTTGACGTTGTTTGTCAGTTATGGATAATGGTCATTTTTGCCTTATTTCAATCTTACCAGGAAAGTCTCTGTAATTAACAGAAAAGTGTGTGTGCTATTGATTTGAAATATCCTTCATGGTAATGAGAAATTATCGTTCTATTTCTGTTTTGTTCAGAGTTTTAAAAACTAGAAATTGATGTTGAATTTACCAAATGCCTTTTTGGCATCTATCTTTACGGTATTTTTGAACATATTTTTATATTATAAATGTAATGCCTTTGTGGTGGGGAATAAAGTGAGAAGTTTAAGAGTGATCTTTGTTTCCCTGCTCCAGTTTCAACCACTAGAAATAACTAATCTCTTGTGTATTTCCCCAGACTCTTTTATGTACATACAAATCTATATATGTATAATACATCTGAGTGTTTTTTTTCCTAAAAGGGATCAAAGAGTATGTATTGTTCAGTAACTTGCTTTTTTTCTTTTAAAATACTGGACATCTTTTCATATTAGTACATCTACTTCATACTGCAGATGGCTGCATACAATTTCACACTACGGTGATTATTTATCCAGTCCTGCCTTGATGACTATTTGTGACCAGGTTTTTATTTATTCTATTATAAATCCCTAAGTGAGCTGCACACCTCTACTTATATCCCTGTGCACTTGAACATGTACTTCCAATGCACTTTTCATCCTATTCCTGGTGAGTTTCTTGAAGGAGAAATAATTTTTTTTTTATCATTAATTCCTATGACAATCTGCAGGTGTGAATTAAATCTTGCTTCTATACAATATTTTTAAACTGTATTTCCCTTATAAAACAAGTAAAAAAAATCATAAAAATCACAAACCATTAAGATAAATAATAAGTACTTAATTTTGTAGTGTTTATATTAAATTTCTAAAATTAACATTTAACCACTATCAAGCCATTATTTTTCTCCATCCAAGTAAGATAAATGAAAGAAATAAGGCCTTCCAAACTTCCCACCCTAAAAGGCAATGGAATTCAATTTTCCAAAATGGGTAATTGTCTTGGATAAGTAGTATTTTTATTCTCCGGTTATTTGCATATTTTGCAAGTGTAGAAAACTCAGGATTTATCATTTTTTGCGTATTCCATACTTTGCAGAAACCAACTTCAGATTTTTTATAAGAAGGCAAGGTGGAAGAATTAGCAGCAAATTTAATTGTAAAACTTTATCATTGTGACTTACATATGAAAAACTCTCTAGAAATACCTTCCCAATTGTGTTTCCCACCAGGCAGTAATTGTTCTTTTTGGTTAATAGTGGAGAAAGTCTACTTTATTTTAATGGAATAAAAGAGAGGAAAGGCTGATAAACATTTTAGTGAGCTGGTTTTAATTGGAGTAGGACAGGTTTATTTTTATTTTAAGGCTATTTAAGTCATCATGTCTCTCTCCCTGTTGGCCCTGGTGTCTTATACAGGTTCCAAACGCTGTGAACTTCTGTACTGTGTCATCTGGCTCTATAATGTAAAAGGAGGGGGATGGAACCCTCATCTTTTAAAGTCTCCTGCAACTGTAACTCACCTGCTAATCCCCTTGTAAACTGTAGCATAAGAACCTTCACCCAGCTTCTCCAAGTTCAAGTAAGATGAGGCGGCCCCAAAAGGGAGGCTCTTCCTCTGCTTGAAAGGAAGGGGAGGGGTGAGAGGTGGAAAAGACAGAAAGATCAATTTTTTCTTTTCTTTTATTTTATTTTTAGTGTTGACTCCCCTGCTCCCCCCAGGGAAACCGTATTGTTGAAGCTACCTGGGAAGGCCCGCTCAGTAATTGTCCTGGAAGTTGAGGACCAGCTTCCCTGGGACCAGCACACATTAAATTCTTCTAGATCAACGTCAGCGGTTCACTCACCCACTGAAAACCCTGCCTCAGATCCTCTTCCTGAAAAGAATCGCTATTACTCCGTGGCCTTTTACTCTCAAATTTCCGGGCACCAGCCCCCTGCACTCCCCTGGGGTGAAATGAAGTCATGCAGCTTGATGCTTCTTTTAGGTCTGTTAGCTAGAGAAAAAAGAAAGCGCAGGAGTAAAATCTATGCAAAGTCAAGATTCAGCCGCTGCCAAAACCATCTTTTTTCAATTTACCCGATTCTCACCCTTAAGATGTTTTCTAAGGTTCTTCCTACACCCCCAAAAGGCACCTTTCTGAAAGTCAGATCCAAAAACAAAAAAACAAAACGACCATAATGGTATCATCTGCGGAAATGCTGCAATCTTTCTTCACTTGAATACATTTACCTTTAATGCTTAGGTTAACCTGAATCTCCTTGATACATGTTTTTCGTTTTTTTCTTTAACTCAGCCTCCTCTGCCCCACACACATTGTGTAATTTATCACTTTAGAGGAATAGTCTTCTAGCACGGCATGGCTAATAGATATGAGCTAATTACTGAAATTTTGAATCCACCACAAACCAATACTGCAGCCTGTCAGCTCTGCAATGTAGTACCTTAGAGATTTCAGGAGAAGAACCACTTTTTCCACTTCAAGTCAAGGGGAGTTTCGTGCAGCACAAAGTCAAGGATTATTTTTTCCCTTTTGGTTTACAAGCACATCCCCACAATGGATAACTACAGCCATAAATTCTCTGTGACTTTAATAGAATTTTCTTTTTTATGGGTTTCGACCTACCGCAGAAGGAATCAGACCTCTGCTTCGGAAAGGGAGCGTCTGTCTGAACTCTTGGTTTATCAATAGAGAAAGATGCTCCTCCTGGGATACCAATACCTGGAATTCAGCCTCCATGGTCACAGGCTGACTCCTCCGGCTGCTGTGTGCCTCGCCTCCTTTGGAACGGTGATAGCAGCTGCACCCAGGCTGTAGACTCTTAGCACACAGCTCTTGACCCATAGTCTTTCAGGTTCAAGGAGAAAACCCACACTTGAACCTCTCCCCCTCTGCCTCTCCTGTCCTCTCTCACTCCCTTTTTGCCAGAGGTCAGCAGTGTGGAGCTTTCATATGACTCACATGAGGCTCTGCCTGGAGCAGCCTCATGACTTCAGCAGTTTCTCCTTCTCAGTGCAAGTAGCTTGACATCAGAAAGGCGGCTGCTTGCATTCATATATGCACAACGAAAACAAGGCAGCTCTAGTATGAGATAGAATAAAATTGGGCACAGTTAAAGTTCTTCTTCCAGCCACAAGTTAGTGCTGTTTGCATATTTTTTCTGAATTCACATTGCTTATCCATGTGATGATATTTACAAGATATCATGGATAATGATATTGATATTTAGTAGGCTTTCCTGGCACTAAAGCAAATACACTGAGGAAGTTTTTTCTCCCTGCCTTTCATCTGAAAGCATTTTGGTTTTCCGACTTATAAAACAAAATTGCAATAGAGCCAATGTTTAGTGGCCAAAGAAACCATAGAATGAGAATAGGGGGAAAGCTGAGGATGTCTACTTCATCTCTTTGCCTCCAAGCAACAGTGTATCTAACAGTCCTAGATGGATAGTCATTCATTCATTTATTCCAACACAGTGTGATGAGCACCAGTGTTGTTCTTACTGTACAGGTAAGGATGTAAGCCAACAGTAAAGAGACATGAATTTGCATGAAACATCTTCCCTCTTTCTCTCCTTCTTTCTCCCATTTCTTCTTCCCACATAAATATAATACTTATTATATGTAAGGTACTATGTTAATATTGACATGACCAGGAATCTGGCTCAAACTGGTTTATATCCTTCAGTTTTTGAACAAAACTTTTTTTAATAATTTATTTATTGTTTGTTTGTTTGTGAGAAATTGAAGCCAGGGGCACTTCAGTGCTGAGTTACATCCCTCGTCTTTTTTATTTTTTATTTTTAAGGCAGTGTCTCACTAAGTTGCTGAGGGTCTTGCTTAGTTGCCCAGGATCCCCTCAAACTTACAATTGTCCTGTCTCAGACTCCTGAGTTGCTGGGATTACAGGTGTGTGCTACTGTGCCCAGGTGAACAGAATTTTTTTCTGTGACAGACGCTTAAGACTCTTGCTACTATAATGTACCACTCACAGAATGATACAGAAAGGAGGTCACAAATACATACACACACATGCACACGTGCCCACGTGTGTGTGCGAGTCATGTCTATTGTCACAATAATATTTATGGATGTTTGATATCTGAACCTCACAATACTTTTTAAAAAAACTTTCTGATAATTCATTTATTAACATGTATTTAAGCTTTATTTCAAAAAAAGAACCAATTCAAAGATTCATATTTCATAAAAGGAGACTAATTTCACTAATATACACAAATATTTTAAAAATAGTCTTGAAAAACTATTAAACTTTTAACCAACAATCAATTAACAAAGAACAAGAAGTTATTTTTTTAGAATATTTAACTCCACTAGAATTTATCAAAATGCTGATTATAATACATTTTATTAGAAATGCCAATTTCTTCCTAAAAGGAGGTTATGTATTTCATCAAATAAAAGTTATATTCTAGACCAGGTTTAGGGTAATTTTTTTTACCTTTCTCTAATTATCCTAAGCTTTAGAATTTTTAAATGATCATTATTATTATTAGCCAAGGAAATTATGCATAAAGTAACAAGTAGAATAGAACAGTCTGATTTATTTGATTTGTTTGTTTATTGCCACTGCAGATTAAACCCAGGAGGTACTTTGTCTCTGAGCTGCATCCCAACCCTTTTTTATTTTTATTTTTTCTGAGACTTACTCTCATTAAGTTGCTGAGGCTGGCCTTGTACCTGTATTCCTGCTGCAAGCAACCTCCTGAGTCGCTAGGATTACAAGCATGCACAACTGCACTGGGCTAGCCTGATATTTTAAAGATTAAAATTGCTGTTTAGATACTAGAATGGGCTATTGAGGAGAAATTGCAAAATATTCTTCAGAATTTTCAAAAATTAAATAATTTATGGTCTTGCTTAAAGTTAAGGAAAAGTATCAGATGAATTCTTACGGTGTTTTCTAGCTCTGTGTCCAAAACAATAATTTTTGTTACCAAAGATGTCTGAATGAGGACAGAAGACTTAGATGATAATCTCCTTTTGAATTCTGCTTCAGACCAGGTTCGTGCACCACTCCAGGTCAACTTGGCTGCCCTGCTTTTTTGCAGTATGACTAGCTTTCCAATGGGAGAAGCCATTCTTGTCCTGGGGAAGAAGGTCCATTATTGCCGTTACCTCCTGCTTTTGTAGAACAAGAGCCCCCACACATGAGGCTGATTGACAGGAAGAGACCCCTGGGCCTGCCCACCATCCCAAATGGACTAACAGAGACTCTGGCTTCAGCAAAGTCCCACAAGGGCCAGCTCATACAATTTGGAAATGCAGGAAGACTCCTGGAGCACACTTCCACCATTATGAAACCAGCAAGAGTTGGGCAACTCAGAAACCAGCTCCATTCATTTGCTCTCTCCTTTCCCCTCACCTTTCTTGGGATTGCATATGTGACCTACTCCTCCTACCTTTTTTTTTTCAGGCTTTGTTTTCAAGGAATTATGTCAAGAAAAATGCCAGCCATTTTAAAATTAGCAGTAAAATCATATTATTGACAAATTCAGGTTAGCTTCTCCACTCATTCCATCTTTTTTGAGTCATTTTTTTTTCTTTTGCAAGTGGTGTAAATTGAACTACCATATTTAACTAGGAGTATGTGTTTTTTTTCCTGTGCGTGTGTGTGTGTGTGTGTGTTCTATCTTTATTAAATTTAGCCAAAATAGTGGGAATTATGGTTTAATTATAACTTTCTAGGATAGGTAGATTACCACAGGCATTCAACAGATAAAAACATGAGAAATATATAAAATTTGTGTTATAAACATTAAAAATAATTCATATACATCTACACAGTGGGATAATATGCAACTATAAAAAAGGAGTGAGATCTTTATATAATGACATAGAGTGATCGCCAAATATTTTAAGTGAAAAAACAAAATGCAGAACAATGTTTATAGTGTGTTGTTACATTTTGTAGCAAAAAAAAATTAGGGGAAATAAAATGTAGTTAATTATCTTACCAATAGTAGCAATATTACCATTATTTTTATTTTGTTGTCTATTGTAAGGGAGAAGTATTTTCTTTTCTTATCTATTGCTTAACTTCATGGTTGAGATCTCTATAATGAATAGATTAACAAGAGAAAATCATACAGATTTATTTAATGTAAGTTTATGTGACATGGGAGACATACATGACACACATGAAGACTCAAAGAAACAGGGAAGCCTGTATATTTTTATTCTAAGTTTGATGAAGTAGACAGTTGGGAAGAAATATGACTGGAAGATAAAAGGGTCTGATTTGATGGTTAATAAACTGGGGAGAACTTAGCAAACCTGTTTTTTCAGATTCTTCTTGGTATCTCTGTGTCTTTAAAGATAGGGATGTTCCCTTCCTCTGGGTAGAGAGTGGTAATCCCTAGAATTAAGTATTATAACCCATTTTAGAGAACGGTCAGCTAGGTTTAATGGCCTGCTTTAGGAGAGAAGAGGAAGAGGAAAGTAAGAGAAAGCTTTCTGCTTCTGCTGTTTTTTCACTTATCAAGGTGCCATATTGTGGGGTAATACAGACTGAACCCCATCACTTATATGTGTACCTAAGGCTAAAACAAATAACAAATATGCTAATGTCATTAGAAATCTAACTCTTTAGTGTAAGAGAAAATAGACATAAATATTAAATCAAGGAAAACTTATGTGAACTTAAATTGGACTTGGAAACATATACTTATGTTTCTTATTCCTTTAACAAAAAGAAAAGCCCTGGGGGCTAGGGATGTCACTCAGTGATGCTTAGCATGTACAGGCCTTGGGTTCAATCCCAAGCACCTAAGGGGGAAGCCAAAAGCTCTGTCAATCAAAAAGACCTAGGAACAACAACACAATAGAAATGAGTAACCTTAAGTTCAATTTAGAGACCCTAATGGGCTCTAAATACTTTTTTTTTTCCCTCTAAAAAGAACTAAACATCCATGGAGAAATCATGGATTCTAGGTCTGGAGTACAAATTCCATAAGATAAAATGGGTATCTGACTAGCTAGAAAGCAAGAAAAGTAATTATCAAGAAAGATGTCTCAGGCTTATGTAAGCCAACAGGAGGCTTGTTAAAAGGACACAGCAACCAACTGAAAGGGACCCCCCATTGTCTTAAGGTGGAACAAATTAAGTGTCAAACAGAACAACAACAAGGAATGCATAAAATCAAGAACTGTAGACTAATTCTTAAAAATTAAGTTGTCACTTGGAGGTTTCTAGTGTACAAACATTACTCAGAATATCAATTAATTTTTTTAAAAAGAAAAAAACAAGTATTTAAAAAATATTTTTGCAAATTGTTTTTCCAGATTTATCAAATTGCTAATGAGTGGAAAGTCCTCATAGAATTTCAGCTAATAAATGTAGCAGAAAGAATAAAAAGAGAAAATCACTATCATGCAATCCTTAATGCAATGGTAGATCTAATCAGTCATCAGTGAATGCTGAAAGCCTGAGATAAAAGACTGATGAGGAACATTGTCATGAAATCAGCTGAGCCCACTGATCAGTCATGTGTTTAAGGTTTTTCTGAATAAAAAGAAGAACAATATTTTAAAAAACACATTCTCGCAAAATCCATATCTTTTGATTGTTTATTTATATTCTGTCTATTTCCAAAAAAAGGATGGGTAAGCTGGGCATGGTGGTGCACGGCTATAATCCCAGCACTCAAGAGACTGAGGTAGGAGGATCACAAGTCCAATCTCAACATTTTAGAAAGACCTTGTCTCAAATTAAAAAATACAAAGGCTGGCGATGTAGCTCAGTGGTAAAGCACCCCTGGGTTCAATCCCTGGTATCAAACAAACAACAACAACAAAAAGGCAGGTAGGCCTTTATAAAAATATAGCAATCATCATCATCATCACAGCCACTATGTCCATGCTTGATCTGGGGCAAACTGCATGCTGCATGGAGACTGATCATCACTATGCCATGCGATGAGGTAGGTACCATTACTATCCCCATTTAATC